GACGGCCAGGAAGGTTTTGCTGTGTGTTTAGTGGGATTAGCAAGGAATCGTTTACTACGAGCTGCTCCCCTATGGCCAAACGCTCAATTCGGTCCTCTACTGCTAACAAATGGGCCGCTTGAAGGCAGCACTCATCCAAAAGAGGCCATATTTGATCAACAGAGGCCGAATTGTGTTCCATTAGGACAACGCCAGGCCGGATGGTAGGTCCTAATGCACCAACCTTATAGTCTGGACCTGACACAAGTTATTTTTCCTGTCCATGGCGAACGCGCTTAATGGTGAGAAGTTGGCCTCAAGACACGACTGTGAAAATTGGTTCTCTGCGTTTTTTGCCAATAGGGACGCAGCCTTCTACGAGAAGGGTATAATGAAGTTGGCAACAAGTTTACGAAGAAAACGGCGCATATTTGACTTAAATCGGACAAATGTACACATCGCTGAGATATGCCATTAATACTGGAAAGCAATATCAGCTAAATGACCGTCACACGGCTAAGCGTACAGGACTATATGCTTTTTATGAAATTTTCCATCATCAAATCACAAAGTGGCTGCTGAATACCTACAATATCTTCACGATTTCAAACTTTATGGTCTTTTTAATCGGCATTGGGCTGTTGGCGTAGACCTTATCTTTCACATTTCGTTCTCGTTTGCCAATTACAATCGCCTCGAGGCGAGATAACATGATCGCATGAAAGATCGATGGTTTCGTTGCTTATGCGGCACCTAGCGCTGACTTGATGAAAGTAAATACCAGCCATAAAAAATCATTAATTATTTCTCGTTAACGTAATCCATTCACGCCCGTAACTGTTGTGTTCCAGTTTAATTTTCGAAAAAGTAAATCCATACCGCCGGACCATGAAACGCACTAAACAATTAAACGTTGAGGGTGGAGAGGCTTTTCAACGATAAATTTTAGGTTATCTGAGCCCCAGATGCGACAGTTTTGCTTAGTGCGATGGGAATGGATGAGGCCCAGGTCGAGATGATTTTTCGATAAAATTTTTATAGTGAATTTAAATAAATTTAGTGCATTTTTGAAGTGTGTATCGTTCCATTTTTTTCACTGCCTAAAAAGTGACTTCTACCACAATAGCCATCTATTCCAAAGGGAACCTCTTAATGCATAACTCTTTGAGATTACAAAATAGCCACATTGTATGGCTGAGTCTCCCAGTAAAATTAGAAAAAAAAAATTGGGAAAAAAAATTATGGAAAATTCTAATTTTTTCACGCTTCTGAGACAGATTAGTTAGTTATATAAGATTTCGATTTCATTGAAATTGTTCTTTCATTGCTCAAAAACTCTTCAGCAGATTTTTCTGAATGTTTTTTTCAACAAACTCTTTAAAAACCTGTCACTGTAACGAGATTCTTCTTAATTTTTTTTTAATCAATTAAAATTAACTTATTAAATCTAAACACTTACATAATAATTTAAATTTTTTGAAAATTAATAATTAATTTTTATTATTTAGAATTTATGTACTGAAAAATGATATTTTATTTCAAAATTAACCAAAAAAAAATATTTCTTAAATAAATTTAATAACCAAGAGAAATATTTATATTAAAAAATACTTTATATTATACTATATATATGTTTAGGCATATAAAAAATATTTAAAATTCATTTTGTTCGCTTAAAATGGCATAAAAATGTTTTTTTTTAATCAAAATAAAACCAAAAAATAAGAATATAATTTTTTCATATAAAAATATTTTTAATTAAACAAAAAAAGTTAATTAATTACAAGCAAAATTCACCAATTTTGAGAAAAACAATTGATTAAATATTTTTAGTGCGCAAATACAAAGCGAAAATTATTAAGTGTTGAACAAACAGACAAAACATATACATATATTTACAAATACACATAAATTACACCGAATGCAGACCATAAAAGAAAAGAAATGTGATTTATTTTTCAATACATGAAACAAACGAAAAGCACACAAATTATTATTTAGTCTAAGCATATTTACTTTCTTTTTGTTAGAATTAAGTTTATTTATTTATAATTTATTTCCATTAAATTTATTGCATATAAACCAAAAACCATTTTATAAATGCGTGTGTAATATTTATAAACGCGTTGTATACAGGCAGAGAAAAAAAAAAATAAAGTTTAAATAATTCAATTTTATAAAAAATAGTTTTTTTTTCTGTCGAAATTCGCAGTCGATTACAGTTATATACTGTTGTGCATTATTATTATTTTTTTTTTTATGGGAAAAGAAAAATTAAACATTGTGCTTTTTATGCAATTACAGCAAAAATCTATTAATATAATTTTAATATATTTTTTTTTTTTTCATACAATAAAAAACTAAATGATGTTGGATTTCAAATCATTTGACGCACAAAACAGTAAATTATTAATTTCTAATTTCTTTTAACAACCCAGCATAAGAAAATAATTGAATAATACAAAAAAATACACATGAAGAAAGTATAGCTTGATTTTTAAGATGTTTGCATGTGTGTAGTTGGTTAAATTAAAATAAAAAATTGCTATAAGCCTAGGGAAAAGAGTGCACGAAGAGAACAGTAGAAAGGGCGGCAGAAGCGTTAGTGACGGACAGTTTTTAGGCAGGGCGATCGGCGGTGTTTAATATTTCGGTGGCTTAAGTTTAAAAAAAAAAAAACGATGTGTCTTTCCCTTCTTCGATTTTGTTTCGATTCGAATACAAAATAGTAAAATTTACTAATTTGGGATTGAAAATCGTGCGAAAAATTTAAAATTACTCTAAAATCTACTGCCTATATTTAAATTAAATAAAAAAATAAATTATTTTTGAATTTTATATAAAATAAAGATTAAATAAAATATATAAAAATAATAAAATGAAATTAAATAAAAATAAAATAAAAATATAAAAAAATAATAAAATAAAATTAAATAAAATATAAAAAATAGTAAAATAAAATAAAATAAAAATAAAAAATTAATATAACAAAATCTGAATAAAACAAAAAGTTTAATAAATTTAAAAAAGTTTAAATAATAATAAATAAAATAAATTTATATAAATTAAAAAATTTAAATAAAACAAAAAATTAATACTTAAATATTTGATTTTTAAAATGATTAAAAAAATTTAAATTGATTCAAACGAAGCAGAAAATATTTAGATTTTTATTTATTTTTTTTTCTAGCTCAAAAGATCTAAACTTATTTAGTTTTGAAATGTTTTAAATTTCATATTGAAAATAATTTACAAATATAATGTTATTATTTTTTTTATTCATTTCAATTAATATTAATTTAATTAACAATTAATTTTTTTAATATTAGATTATGACTAGAATTTTGTTTTATAAAAACTAAAAAAAAAAACATTTTTCAACACGAAAAACCAAATTTCTTTTTGATTTTTATTTCTGAAGAAATAAAAAAAACCTTTGAATTAATATCCAATTATTATTATTTGTTTGGTTTCAATCAATAATTTATTTATTAATTTTAGTTTTTGACTAGAATGGTTTTAAGTTCGATAGTTCAAAAATTTAATTTATAAATTTTAAAATTAGAAAAAAAACAGTATGCTTACTCTCAGATATATTTTAATTTCCAGCTTTGAAGGAATAATTTTGAAGCTATTATTATTAATATTATTTTATATAGAATTAGTGAGTAGAATTTTTTTTCAGTTTGAAATCTACTTTAGTTGTAACATTAATAATATTTTGCTTTAATTTTTGATATTTTCTTTCTTTATTTTATTCTGAATTTTATTTTTGTTTTTCTGTTTTCTAATTTTATATTTTTGTTTTTATATTTGTATACATTATTTCTTGATTATATATTTTTGTACTTTATTTTTTATTAGTAGTTTTTATTTTCTATTTTATTTATTTTATATCTTATCCTTTATTTATTTTTATATTATATTTTTTATTAATTTTTATATTTTATTTTTTTATTTATTTTTATATTTTATTTTTTTTTTATATATATTTTTTTGTTTATTTTTATATTTTTTTTAAATTATTTTTTATCATATTTTAATATTTATTCGTATTTTTTGTTTGTATATTTTTATTTTATTTTATTTTGATTTAATTTTTTCTTTTATTTTTAAATTTTAATTTTTAATTTTTATTGTTATTTTTTTACTTCTATTTTAATTTTTTACCTTTATTTTCATTTTTATTGTTTTTATTTTCAGATTTATTTATTTATATTTTATTTCTATTATTTTTTAAATTTTACTTTAAATTTTATTTAATTTTTATAATTTAATCTTTTTTTAATTTTTATTTTTTAATTTTAATTTTTATATTTTAATTTTTTTCTCTTTATTTTTATTATTACTTTTATATTTTTTTCTTTTAGTTTTTGTATTTTAATTTTTACTCTTGTATTTCAATTATAATTTAATTTTTTATTTTAATTTCTTTATGTGACTAGAAATTTTTAAATCTTTTTCGACTTCAAAACAAATAATAATTCGAAGTCTCATCATCTCTCATATTAATATTTGATTTCAAAAAAGAAAAAAAATTAAGTAAATTTTTTCTTTAAAATTTTCAAGCAGAATTTTATTTTCCAAGTTGAAAGTAAATATACATTTTTTTTTATTCTTAACGTTCGAAAATAAAAGTTTTCAAATAAATTATTATTTTGATTTAATTAATCAATTTATTATTGGAAAATAATTTTGGGATTATATAAAAATATATATAATTTCGTTTCTAAAATCTTCAAAAAAAAATATTTTATTTTCGAATTCACTGGTATAAATTTTTTTTATTTTTATATTAAAGTTATAGAAATATTAAATTCCAAATAAATTTTCATTTTACTCAAATTTAATGACGTGTTTATTAATTGGAAAAAATTTGAAAATTTAAATAATCCTACATTACAAAACACGTCTAATTTAAATTTTCAAATCTTAACGTTAAAAAATAATAAATAATAAAAATAAAAAAGAAAATTAGAAAAGAAGAAAATTATTTAAAAATTATAAAAAAATATAAAAAAAAGTTAGAAATTATTGAAAAAAATTTAGATTAGAAATAAGGCACACCCTGATAAAAAAAGGACAGATGCTATTCTTCTTTAAAATTCGCCAACCCAAGCCATGCCATACAAACACCGCCAGCTAACCGCCAACAGCGCGAGCCCGTACAGCCTAGCCCAGCAACGTCGCACTTGTTAATCCTCCGTCTCTGAGATGGAATACGTATGCACTTGACACATAACACTCTCCGCATATTGCTGCAACACCATCTGTTCGCGCAATTGACGCCGCTCCTCGACAATCTCGCCCTGCACAGCAATACATTCGTCCATCTGACGCGTGCACTTGGCAACATGTTCACCGAAATCGCGCATTTTACGCTTGTAGTTATCGAGTCGCGGATGAATTTGTTGTATTTTTTCACCCAACTCAGCAAGCTCATGTTGTACACCATTGCTGGCGGTACGAGAATTATCATCATTGTCGTTGCAGCCAGCTTCATCTCCCTCGGCATAAGACGCCGCTTCGAAGATCCCCTCTTCCAACTCATCACCACACCTCGATGCCGTATTATCTTCCTTCTCCTCCATATCGTTGTCCTCCACATCCTCCACATCGTCCTCCTTATCTCTCATCCCACTTTGTTCGCATAAACTGCCAGTGGAGTCATTTGACTCTACACACAACACATGATGGTGCGAACGCCTGCGTCGCTTTTGTGTTAGTAATTTCTTACTCGGCGGCTGCGTAAGACTCACCCAGAAGCGGGGTGAACCGCGCACGAGCTTCGATTGAAAGGTATAAACGCCCGTTAAGGAATTTCGTGGACTTGGTTGTTTATTCAACTGACGACTGCTACTTTTGACGACCGTACGACTAGAGGACGCAGTGGAGCTGGTCAAACTGCTGTTGGAGATGCTGGTGAAGAGCATTTTACTGCAATTGCTCACTGAATTGCGTGGTCCGAAGGGATTCTTACAAAATATGGCCTGCGCATTGCCCTGTAAACGTTTGAGGCTGCAGCCACCACTACCGCCGCTACTACCCGCACTCGTGGGGGTGCGTCTCGGCAAGGAGGCATTACGTATATTTTCCAAAATGAAATTACGTTTAGTTGCCTTAATTTCAGGCGTAGAGCTGCTGACGTGTGGCCATCTAGTTGACGTACGTGCGCCGCCACCTATCTTATGCTGTTTACAGCCAGCAGAAGTATCGTCGTCGCCACTTTTCGAAAGCCGTGCGCTCCACGATGTGCAAGGTTGTTCGTCTCGTGACGGTGTTGTGGTTCTATTCAGTTTAGCTGGTGGTGAGTAGAGCTCACAACTGCCTGTGGATGGTGTTAAAGAACGCGAACGTCGTAAATTCAGTGACCGGTTGGCACACTCGGTGGTCTCCTCACCTGTGGATTTCGTATCGACACTTCGGCGGTAGTATATACGTGTGCTGCCTCCCACAGCTTCTTCAACGCTGCAACTACTCTGATGTGCTGCTGCATCTGGGTCGGGTATGTCGTTTTTTGTGTGCTCCTGCATGAAACTATCACCGCCCGACTCGCCCAATGTGGTTTGTGCAGATAAAAACCTCGAACCGCTTGTAGATGCTGTGAATGTGCTGTGTGAACTTTTCGACTCATCCGCCATTAGATCGTTGGTCATATTTAGTGACTGTTCTTTAATCAGCTGTTCCAGCTGTGCAGGCGTCATCTTATTGCGTATCGTCATTTCTATTTTATCGAAGATCTCCTCACTACCTTGCAGCTGGTTTTCTCTGATTTTTCGCAATATCTTGCGTTCCATTGCATTGAAGTGACTGTCTACTGCGCCTACGAGCTCCTCCTCCTCCTCTCCCTCTTCAATTTCTATATTATCTTCCACAGCTCCGCCGCATTGGCGTCTCTGTGTCTGCGATTGCAAGTTCTCTACATTCAAGAGCAACTCTTCGAATTCTTCGCTCATTTTGGTGAGATCCTCATGCTCGTCGGACTCCAATAACTCAGCGAACGCCATATCGTCGTTATCTTCACTCTCTGTTTCCTGCGTGACCACAAGTGGTGTGGGAGAAATAGGCGACGATGTGTTTGCGCTACAGAGCCCTTCGGATTTGGGAGCGTACATTAAGTTCACCGCTTCCTCTGTAGTACGTTGTGCGGCTTGCAGCGATGTAGAGGCTTCGCAGCTAGGTGATTTGCTAAGTACATTTAACACCTTACGGCGTGTACGTTTGGTGGTTCTCGGCGCAGTATACACTTCACTGGAAGGCTCATTGAGCGCTTCAGCTGTTAGCTGTGCGACGCGTCTCACATTTGGTAAGTTGCCAACGTCGCTATCCGTATTGTCAACGGTTTTGTTTTTGGGCTCATCTGTGGGTAGCGCCATACCAGCTTTGGCACGCTCTATGCCCGTTGGTATCGGTTTTGAAGTGGCATATATAAGTCCGGAATCATGCTCTGGAATAAAACGTTCCGGGCATATGCTTGTAACTTTCTTCTTGTTCCTCTTTAGATTTACTCCAACTTTCGCGTAATCAATTTCACCAGCTTCGCTACCAACTCCACAACTAGTAGCGTCAGCAGCAGTTTTACCCAACTTATCTTGACGAAAAAACAACGCCTCCCTTGTAGCGTTAAGATTATATGTGCGTGCGGATTGATCGTCGTCACTGCCGGATGTGTCTAGGTCGTTCAAAGATGTAAAATCCTCTGTCACCAATCCTGACTGCGCGCGCGGCGAATCGAGCTCGTTGTTTGACGTTTCGTTTTCTACACTTTCCTGAGCTTCTAAGCCCGCCTGAGTTATTGATGTCTCATACTCTCTGCGTGCATACGCCAAGTCGTGAACTGAGAAGCGTCTCACTTCCGTTTTCTGTAGTTTCATAAGAATCTCCGACTTTGTGATCTTATCCAAATCCTCGTATTCATTGCACATACGCTGCGTACAATTCTTCAGGACAACACTGCGACTATTGAAGACCTCAGACTCTGCAAGCAAAGACGTTGATTGCGCTGAGTTGTGTTCTTCCATCTGCTTTAGCAAGAACTCTTCCACTCCGTCAACGCTCTCAGCCGTGTGCTCGTCGTCCTGCCTGGATCTTACACTGGCGACAGCTTGTTCTTGCTGCCCATCAATCGCAGACTCGGTATCACTCAATGCTCTACTAAACTCTTTGCCATCCATAAAGAAAATATGATCTTCACAAAGTTCCTGAAAGACGAGTTTTCGACGGCTTCGCTCTTCGCGCGTCATCAAAGAACGTCGGCGCTCATCCTTTGCCGATTCTTCGGAAGCCGTCGTGTTGGTTGTGTTACGTTGCGGGTATGCGTTATCTGCACGTTGTGGCGTGTTGTTCTCAAATGGACTGGCATTTTCCCTGGCGTTTATATTGTTGGACAAGCTTTCACGCGCATTTTCGTAGTGTAAACAAATGGCGCCGCCTTCAAGACCTTGGTCGGCAACAGTTGCGGCGTGTTGTTTGTCTTTGGAGTTTTCTCCTTGTACCTTCTCGTCGGTATCCTCCTCGGGCCACTGCATAAATTCCCAAATCTCCGTGACAGATACACGTCTTCGGTGCTGCACGTCATCTGATGATGTTGCTGATGCCGTTGGCTCCTCAACATTTACGTGTCTGGTTATAGCATTTTCCATATTTGCACACTCCAACTTAGACTCACGCTCGGTATTGTAGTGTTTGGTCTCCGTGCTTGGTTCACACACCTTACCACCGGTTTCTGATTGGTTTTGGCTCTTCTCTGTCATAGCATGTTCCAGTTCCAAAGTGAGATTGGTGCTGCTCGCAACTTTGTGTGGCGCATGCGCAAAGTTCCAATTCAAAGATTCTTCCGAATAATTCAGACGCATAATCTTCTCAATGAAACTTGAATTCGAGGAGGTGCGATGCAATGGTGTTTGCGTGCTTATTGCCGGTAAGGACTTTAACACGTTGCGCCCATCTTCATTGCTATCCGGCTCGACTTCCTCCACAACCTCCAACACCGGCTCAAGTTGTGATGAGAAGGGTGGCAGAGTCTCCTCTGTAGTGTCAGAACTCGCATACTCAACGTAGTCATATGCCACACCGTCGGTGCTTTGTGTATACATAATACCCGGGCAGGTGCCGCCGTGCACGCGCGCTGTTGCGACGCTAACCGTTGAATTATAATCGCACAAATTGCGCAGACGCATTTGGGTTTGTTGTGCAATTTCCGGCTTCAACCGCACGATCTTCTCAAAACAGTATTCACAGAGGTCGACATAACGCGGTGATGAGAAGATCTCCTCATAGGAAATTGACTTACGTAAAGGCACGTACTTCTTTCGCTCGGTCGACGGTGGTATATGCTTGTGGTCGGGCTGTGGATCACGTTGCGGCGAATTGAAACCGAAATGCGAGAGTGTACGGTAGGGACTGGTGTTGGTGGTTGGGCTCTGCGCATTTTTTCCGGCTTTCTGCGGCAAGTCATAGCGTGTTTTGCGTGGTGTGCTCACCGAAGTGCTAGTCGTGTCGGCCGCTTCAGTTGTGAATGGTATATTGAAGATGAGATTATTATCATTTGAGGAACACGGCCGCCGCAACGACTCAAAGATGCTGTCACACACAGCAGGCGTGCAGCACGCGATCGATTTCTTATATGGATTTTCGGCTTCGTCAGTGTCGGTGTTGGTGGTGATCACGGATGCAGCGCGATTAGCAGCGTCTGCTTGACAAAATGACTTATCGTAGACGGACTCATAATAAGGTGCAGCGTAGTTATCGTAATAATAGGCGGTACACATCTCGTTGGCGGGACGACCGAACAAGTGACCGAAAGTCTGTTCGAAACCCGGTAAACTGACTGTGGGCAGCGGCTGTTGACGTTGATGATTGCGTGGGCAGTGAAGGAGTTGCGCATGTGCACTACAACCACCAGCAGCAGTTGCGGCACAACCACCAACGCCAACGTCTGCGGGAATGCTGTTATTATTGGGATCAGTGTAAATGAACTGTGGTTGCTGTGGTACAATTGCAGCGTTCGCATTGACATGCGGCTCTACTGGTTGTATGGGACAAAAACCTCCCGACTCAACAGCGGAACGCTGAGGCATAGGATCACCGTACTCACCGTCACTGTCACCAACGTGACCTGCACACTTTTCACCCTCCCCACTACTCGACCGTCTACGGCTGCTATTACCCTGCCTATTTGTGCACTCTAAAAAATCATAATTTTGTGGTTGTAATTTGTATTTCTGACGCTGAAACAACTGATCTCGCTTGAGCTCGGCTATCAGCGCTGGATTGCGCTTGATGTTTGCATCGCCGCAAAAGATATTCTCTTTATTAGACTGATAGTTGCTTTCTGGCGTTCTTGCAGCATTGCCTAAACTCATATTATTACTTAAATTTATACCGTTATTTTCATGCACACGAAATTGATTGTTGTTGTTATCTAAATTGTTATTTATGCTATTATTGTTGTTGGAAATTTCGTCGATCTTTTCATTATTGGCTATATTTGTGTATTCTTCTTCTTCTCCGTCTTCACTTTCGAAACTTCTATTGGGATTTTCTATGTCTAGGAAAGGTTACGGATTGTTAAAAGGTGTGTTTTCAAAATTTAACTAAATTTCTTCGTAAAAAGAGGGCTACAGAGCACGAGTACAAGTTCAATTCGATAAAGCTTGAGCCATGGCAATGCCACAATAGATGGATCTGGATTTGGATTTTTTTTATAATCTTTAAATTAAATGTTTAAATTTTTGTTTTCAGTAGATATATAAAATATTTTTTTTTTAATTTTTAAGGTAAATGTTTAAAAAAAAATCAACAATTTTTTGTTTATTTTTCTTATTTTTTAATTTTTTTTTTTACTTTTTCTTTTTGAATTTTTTTTTTATTTTTACTTTTTTTTATATTTGTTTTATGGTTTATATTCTTTATTTTTTATATTTTTTTATATTTTTATATTTTTTTATATTTTCTATATTTTTTTTTTATATTNAGTTGTGTATGTATACTTTAGCATTTGAATTTTCATTTTTGTTATATTTTTATAATTTTGTATGTATATTTCCAATTTTTTTAATTTTCTTATTCGATTTATAAGGTTTTTTTATTTTTTATATTTGATTTTTTTATTTAGTTTATAATTTTTAATTTTTTTTTTAATTTTTATTTTTTATTCCTTTTTTTATTATTTATTTTTAATTTTTATTTTTTATTCTTTTTTTTTTTGGTATTTATTTTTTTTTATTTTTTATTCTTTTTTTCATATATTTTATTTTTTATAATTTATTTTATATTTTGTTCGGTTTTTTTTTTTTTAATTATTTTATGATTTGGTTATTATTTATTTATTTTTATTTTTTATATTTTTATTATTTTTTTTATTTTCATTTTTTATACAATACTTTTATTATTAATAAATTGTTTTCCTAATTTAATATTTTATTTATTTTTGTTTAATTAATTTCATAGTTATATTTATTTAATTTCTTCAATTTCTTTTATTTTAATTTTTTTATAGCTATAGTACTTAGATTAAAAAAAACACTTATCTTCCTGATTTTAATTTTTTTACTTGTGATATTCATTTCAGATCTTTTTATTGTCTATATAATTGAAATTGATTTATTATAGTCTTTTTAATTTATTTTATTTTTTTACTTTTTATTTATTTTTTATTTCACATTATTATTTAATGACCTTTTATTTTTTTAAATAACTTATAATTCGCATTTACGTCATTTTTAGTAATTTTCCACATTAACTTTATGCAATTAAATTAAATTATTAATCAATTAGTATTTAATTAAATTTTTAAAATTATTATTTTTAATTTTTATATTAACATATTTGTATATATGTCTAGATAAATTGGGCATTGCCATGACTCTCACTATACTTGAATTCTTGAGAAACCAAACGGAAGTTACTATTTTCTAAGTAGAAAATTTTTGATACAATATAATTCGCAAACTAACTTTTAAAAAATCGGAAATTACTTTTAACTACTGGAAGTATATACTACAATAATATATAGGAAAATATATGTACTTAAATTGAAATTTCACTTATTAAATTTTAGCCAATTTAATACAATGTATTTGTATATACTAGTAAATGTAGTTATACATATATATATATATTGGTTAGTCAAGGCAGTTAATTACTACAAAAATTCAAATGCAAGTTTAGAATGGAAATATACTTTTTAGTAGTTTGAAAAGAGTTTAAAGTAAGGATTAATAGCATGGAAAGAGAAAGAGAATAGATAAAAAAATTTGTTTCCCAACATTTGACACAATAGTGAATTGGAATGCTGACACACCACAAACTCATTATGATGTTAAGAAAACGTATGCTCGAATGTATATATGTTTATACATATGTAAACGATGTTTTCGAGTTATTTCTAATTGGATGAGTTGTTATTGAAAACACCACCAGCTTATGAATTATATTTTTTTGTTTATCAGACAAGTGAATTGTATTTACAAACGTAGTTATTAATAAAAAGTATTTTTGTGGTGAAAACTGATGATGACTTGGCGTTTTGGTATTATTACAATTATGGATATATACAATTTCAATTCATTGTTGGGGTTAGAGGTCATCTCACAACAAAAAATAGGAATTAGCATATTTTTTTGAATTCTTTTTCGCACAAAAATTTTATTTACCTCGGCCCGTGGGCGGTTTGCGATTCACAGCCGTATGAGAACGTTCGCCATTTATGAAACTAAGAGTTGCTAAAAGAATATCATACATATACATACAGATGCAAATCAAATTTGTGCTGTTTAAAGCATTTATTATTATAATTATTATTATTTTTTTTTTATAATAAAAAATTTAGAAAATAAAAATGGAAAATAAAATAAAATATTGCATATAAATAAAAAGAAATATGTATGCATGTGCTTATTTTTTATATCATAAAATTAATGAAAAGTCAATTTTATTATTTTTCAATGCATTTTAAAAACTTTTTAATAATTCACGTGTAATAAAAACCAACGAACTAATTTAAATTTGTTTAGTCGGTGTATTTTCATAGCTCAGAAGAACACTTTCAACATGCTGTTTCATATGCTCAAGTCGATTTAATTTATTTTCTTACATATACATGTAAATATTTCATTATTATTATTAAAATGTGCAAACAGTTTTAAAATAGAATTGCAGAAAAGGTTTTGGAAAAGTGGTTTATGTGCACCTAAGGAAACTAACAGCTGCAGCGCGTACTAACGGCTAGTCTAAAGAAAGAAAAATCTTAAACACGTCAAACGAAAATGGACTTAAAAACTACCTGAAACTGCGTAAAGTTAAAGGGACAAACAAAAAAATATTTTGGGGTTTCGTTGGAGAGGGCGCATAAAAAATTGGAAACATGTAGCGACGTTGTTAATATGTAAACAATTTCAGATATGAATTACATAAATATATAAAAAGTTAATTAATATTTTCAAACTCAAAAAAAAAAGAGAATTAAACAAAAAAAATATGAAAAGTTAAAAAGAGTTTATAAAAATTGAAAAAAGAGATACAAAAAACTGAAATAAAAAAAAATTGAAAATTATGAAAAATTTTTATTTACATTATTTATTTACAAAAAAAATCAAAAGTTAACCAAAAAAAATAAAAATTTAAAATGAAATGAAAAAATTGAAGAAAACAAATATTATAAAAGCATAAAAAATTTAAAAAAATTAAATATAATATATTAAAAAATTATTAAAAATTAAAGTTTTGAAATATAAAAAATAAAAATAATATTAAACATTATAAAAATAATATTAAAAATTATAAAAATAATATTAAAAATTATAAAAAAAATATTAAAAATTAAAAAAAAAAGAAAATTAAAAAAAAAAGAAAATTAAAAAATTTAAAATATTATTAAAAATAAATATATTAAAAATTAAAAAGAAATTGTAAAAATTAAAAAAAAATGTAAAAATTAAAAAAAAATATACAACTGAAGTTAAAAAAAATTAAAAATTAAAAAAAAATATTAAAAACTAAAAAAGTTTTTAATATTTTTTTTTAATTTTTAATTTTTTTTAACTTCAGTTGTATATTTTTTTTTAATTTTTACATTTTTTTTTAATTTTTACATTTTTTTTTAATTTTTACAATTTCTTTTTAATTTTTAATATATTTATTTTTAATATATTTATTTTTAATAATATTTTAAATTTTTTAATTTTCTTTTATTTATTAAAAATTAAAAAAAAATATTAAAGTTAAAAAAACTATTAAAAATTAAGAAAATATATGATATATAAAAATTAAAACTAAATATATTAAGTATTAAAGAAACTAGTAATATTTAAAAAAAAATATTAAAAATTTAAAAAAAAAAATTTTAAATTTTAAAAATTTAAATATTAAAAAAATATTAAAAATTAAAAAAAAAAATTTTAAAAAATATTAAAAATAAATATATGTATTAAAAATTAAAAAAAAAATGTAAAAATAAAAAAAAAATTGTAAAAATGTAAAAATTAAAAAAAAATGTAAAAATTAAAAAAAAATGTAAAAATTAAAAAAAAATGTAAAAATTAAAAAAAAATGTAAAAATTAAAAAAAATTAAAAATTAAAAAAAAAATTGAAACCAAAAAAAATATTAAAAAATTAAAAAAAAAAATATTAAAAAATAAAAAAAAATATATTAAAGTTAAAAAATTAAATTAATTAAAAATAAATATAATAAGTATTAAAAAAAATAGTAAAAATTAAAAAAAAATATTAAAAATTAAAAAAAAAATTTAACATTAAAAAAATTTAAAAATTAAAATAATATTAAAAATTAAAAAAAAATATTAAAAACTAAAAAAAACTATTAAAAATTAAGAAAATATATGCAATATAAAAAATTAAAAAAAAAATATTTAACCAATTTAAAGGTTAAATTAAAAATATACATTAAAACTAATAAAAAATCATTATATATAACAAATTAAATATTAAAAAAAAATATATAAAAACTTCAATAAAATTAGAAACTAAAAAATTTAAAGTGGAAAAATTCAAAAAATTAAAAAAATAATAAAAAATAAAAAACAGTAAATTCAATTATTTTTATAAACCCGAAAGGTATAATCAATCATTGTATTAAGCCATATATTTATTAAAATTAAATTATTATTATATTTCTACGTCCCAGAGCTTACATATGTTCATATGTATATGCATTTAGTAAGAAAAAATATATATAACAAAACAAATTGAGCGCGAATTTGAAAGCACAAATAATTAGCGCACACACAACAAGTCAGTCAAAAAATTTTTAAAACAATTTACTTAGACATAATAAGTCACTATGCACTCGCCAAACAAAAATAAAAATTTTTGTAAAAAAAAAATTAAAAAAAAACTATTTTTCATAAAACTAACAGGCATTTCTATAAAAAAAAATATCTATACAAAAACAACTAGAAGAAAAAGGGATAAATAACGAAACACTAAACGTTTACCGTTATATAAAAAACTAATAAAAAAAAATATTTTTTTAGTACGAAAGAGACTGTGTGTGGTGAAAATGTGAAGTTTGTATGAAAAATATTATTTTTTTTTTAATTTATTATTTAGTTCTCCAACATTCTTATTTAAATATGCATGGCCAAAAATTCAATAAAGTTAGATTTTAAAGAAAAATTTCCGGTGGAGTTGAGGAATGGATATGCGTGTGACTGGCAGAAAAGAAAAAAAAACTCGACCAATTTTATTTTGTGTATGTATGTTAAGTGAAAATTTTCAGTTGCGTAAAACTAATGAAAGCAAAACGAATAATGTGTGTGTGAACAAAATAAGAAAAAAAAAATCGAACGAAAAACGAAGGCTGGGATTGGTATGATATATATGTATGTATGTTTAATAATGACACTAGTTGCAGCAGATCATGAAGATGTATGGACACCATTTTTAGATTTGATACGTAAGCAGGAAATTGCTAAAAAAAAAAAAACAGAAAATTTTGAAAACTTTCAAACCAAAAATGGTGTTTACACGCATTATGAGTAATGGATGACAACTAAAAACGCCTAAGTAACTCTCACTAAGCGAATGTGTGTGGAGGAAAAAGGTAAACTTTATGATTTTTTTTCTTTTAATTTTTTTATTTCACTTTCGAGTTGCAACTCACCTCAGTTGGGTATTGGCCTGCACAGTGGTTACTTTATTGCTTTGTTTTTTTTTTTGGTCAGTTATAAACAGTTCAAACAAATAACTGTTGTAGAGCTGTTTTGTGTATGTAGAGGAGTAGTATATGTGGTAGTTTAAATTTGATTTTAGGTTTTTTTTTCATACGTTGTGCCGGAAAATAGTAGTATAATTATTGTAACAATATTTATTTAGTAGTAGAAAAACTAATACAAAATACTGCCTTAGTAGTGGTAGTAGTAGTTAAAGTAGTAGCCATACTGTTTGTGATACTACGCAACCCCGTTGGAGTAGTGATGTTCTTCTTGTTGTTGTTGCTTTTGTTGTTGTTGATGAGTGGCACAAAAATGTATAATTCTAGCGATACAATAAAATGTAGATAGCAGCGCCATACACACTGACACGCACATGTACGCAAAATACATAGTAGTAGTAGTAGTAGTAGTTGTTGTAGTAGTGGAACGCAAGCATTTTTACCACCGATGGATGAGCGCCAAACAGGATGATTGATTGCACCGGTTGATTGAATTGACTGAGTCTAAACTGACAAATAACTGACAAATAACTGACAACCGCTTAACTGACTCACTGACAAAACTACCTCAATACTCACTGATCGTCGCCTGACTAGGTGACTAGCTACCTACTGCACTCGCAGCGCAAATTGATTTATGAATTAAAGACTAATTGGCTAGCTAATTAATTAAGTTTAACTAACATTTTCGACTAGACTAAATATGGACTGTTTTCACTCGACTGACTGACTGACTGACTGACTATTGCTCACACTTTACACACATACATAGTGGGGGCAGCTTTAAAAAATGAAAAAAAAAGAGTTTTGTTTCAAATTGCAAATTTTTTCTGCATTTTAATGCTTAAAATTAATAAAAATTCCAATTTATAACATTTATTTATGTAATTAATTGTTTTACAAAATAAAAATTAAGCGTTTTTTTAATTTTCTGTAGATTTTCATTGTATTTGTTTACCAATTCACTTTTGTTTTGAGCTGGCTACACAATATAATAAATATAAAAACAGGGAATAGAAGAGGTGAGAAAAAAAATTTTGAATTGTATAGTTACAACGAATTTTCAAAAATTCTAATTAATTCGCATAACACATTTTTTAGAGAATTTGTTAAAAAAAAAAAAATTGTAATTTAGAAGAAAAAATTTTGAAAAAGTTGTAAATTTAATGTTTATTGGAAAATAAATAGCTCAAATTTAGTTTTTTTTTTTTGAATAAACGAAATTTTTAAATATGTGTAATGAAAAAATTGAGTAAAAATAATAAAAAAGTGTAATTTAAAAATTTATTTTAACAAAAAATAATTAAAACAAAAAACAGTAGAAAAAATTCGATTAATAAAATAGAAACGGCTTTAAATTTAATGCTTATTGGAAACGAATATATAAAACTAAAAAAAAAAATTGAAAAAATAGTTCTTTAATAAAACAAAAATTTTGAAACAATAATCTTTTTAAAAAAAGGATAGTAAAAACTTTAACTTTCATCCTTAGAAAAAAGAAAATTTTCAAATTTTCACTTGTTTAATTAATTAAAAATTTGATTTTTTGGAAATTTATTTCAATTTCAAATTAATTTTTTCGAATAGTATTTTAACACCAAATCAATTTAAAAAAATTTGAAAAAAGTATATTTTTTGTTTTGGTAAAAAAATCTGCAGCCGCACACACAACTCAAACTAACAAAAACAAATCTTTGTGCCAATAGAAAATGAAAGGTAGAAATAAAAATTTGGAAAAGTAGAAATTAATCCAGTATTTAAAAGAAAATAGAGTATCGCTTCGATTGTAGTACCAAGTGTGTATATAGCTTTTTGGTATACAAACAGTAGCAGCAGAAGTAGTAGTAGTAGTAGTAGTAGAAATAGTAGTAGGAGTGGTAGTAGAGATAGTAGAAGTAGTAGTAGAAGTGGTAGTAGTAGCAGTAGTAGTAAATAATAAATCACTTAATACACGCCGTACAACATGTTGGGCCTGTTTGCAAACAAATCAGAATTTAAGTGTAAATATAAAATTAAGAAATATATATGTATATTAGTGTAAGAAAGTTAAGTTATTAGCGCGTTAAAATATAGATTGTTATATAGATCAAAATGTCAGGTTTTTTAAGTTAAAAAAAAAATACTAAAAGAAGATTTTTTTGATTTTTTTTTTTTTTGTACTTTACATTACAGAAATGTAATAGATACACTATCGAGTACGGGTAATATTTTCTTTCTAACAACTAATAATGTGTGGAAATTAAAATACATTTAATATTTGTAGCACAAAGTGTTTGAGAAAATATATATTTCGTGGTAGCGGTGTGAGAGGAAGGGAAAGAGAAACAAAAATTAAAAAAAAAAATAAGTTAAAATAATAAATAATAGAAAAATAATATTTAAAATTATGCTAGTTAACTCAAAAGTTCGCTAATAGTAGAAAATATAGAAAATAAAATAAATAATAAGAATATATTAACAAATAATTAAAATAGCGTTGAAAGGTAGTCATTTTGTAAAAAAAATAGAAGAAATTAGCTTGCATATTTCAAAGCGTTTGCTTTCGACCAACTACCTTCCATATGAAGCGCGTATTATTTTAAATACATAATTAAAATATAAAGTATTGAATATATTTTACGTTAATTATTTAAATAAATAGTAATTGGCAGAAACGTTATTATGAACAAAATAATATTTCAAACTTATTTATTATATATATTTTTTAACTCAGCATAGAAGAAGAAAACAAACAGAAAAATGCAATTATTAACTACGAAAAAAAGAAATGAAACAATTGATAATCATAAGCAATATATGTATATGGATATCAGTTTGTAACTACTAAAATAATCAAACAAATCAATAATAAGTTTATAACAAATTTCAACTAAATAAATAGACAAGAAAAAAGAAATATAAAAAACATACAAGAATATTTTGCATAGAATATATAAGTATGTAGGTACGTAATATAAAAGCAAAATTTCAAACATTAACGAAACACTTTTAAAAATATTCAACGAAAACGTCATGAAATTGCTTCACACACACACAGCATCATATTTTAATGTCGAAAAATAATTATGTATATTTTTTGTGTGTTCAAGAGCGAAACTTATGCAAGTTTGTAAATAAAAGTGAAAGTAATTATTTTCGAGTTGGACTTACCATCGCTCAATACTACTTCGGGTTGGCTTGGAACTGGCGCTTGTTGGGTTTCTATTCTCATCACTTGGTGTTCTAAAAAAAAAGAGGAAATGAATATGAAATCAACAACTTTCAAAATATATTTTATGCATAATATGCGACATACATATTACTATTAATTAGTTAAATTTCAGTCAAAAATGAAAGAAACGGTTTATATAAATATCTACACGAATATTTGAACTAAAATTAGAGAAAATTAATGTAAAAAAACTGATAAGAAAAATAATAAAATAATAACAAAAAAATTAAATTACTTTAATTTGTAAGTTAAATAATAAAACCTAAAAAAATATGTAATTAAGAAAAAAATTCTCAATATGCACATATTTTTTATTTCATTTTTTATATTATTTTAAATTTTTATTTTTTTTTTTTAATTTTTATATCATATTATAAATTTTACATATTTTTTATTTCTTTTCACTTATTAAATACTTTATTACGTTTTATTTTTTACCAAAATTTTTATTTTTTTAATTATTAAAATTTTTTTACTTTTTTATTTATTAAAATTTTTTATTCTCTTTATTTATTAAAAAAAAAAAATTATTTATTTATTAAAATTTTTTATTCATTTTATTTATGAATATACTTTAATTCTTTTCATTTATTAAAATTTTTCTGTTTTCTAATTTTTATATATATATTTATATTTTTTAAAATTTTACATTTTTAATTTTTTTCTTAAATTTTTTATTTTTTTACATTTTTTTATCTTTTTTTATTTTTTTTATAATTTTTTTTTATACATTTTTTAATTTTTTTTTTATATTTTTTAATTTTTTTTAACATTTTTAAATTTTTTCTTTTACATTTTTTTTAATTTTTTTTTTACGTTTTATTTTTTTTTTTAATTTTTTTTTATTTTTTTTATTTTTCTTTATTTTTTTTTATTTTTTTTTTTATTTTTTATTTTTTTAATTTTTTTTTATTTTTTTATTTTTTTATTTTTTTTTATTTTTTTTATTTTTTTTTTATTCTTTTTATTTTTTTTTTATTCTTTTTATTTTTTTTTTATTTTTTTAATTTTTTTTTTATTTTTTTAATTTTTTTTTTTATTTTTTTTATTTTTTTTAATTTTTTTTTATTTTTTTTTTAAATTTTTTTTTTTTGCATTTTTTCATTTTTTTTTTTATTTTTTTGCATTTTTTTATTTTTTTTATATTCATTATATTTTTATGTTTTTATTTCTTCTAATTATTTTAATTTTCATATTTAAAAAAAAAATACATACCTACGTATATATTTTTTAAATAAATATATATTGTTTATTTTTATATTTATTCTTATTTTAAATAATTTTATTTTTAATTTTTTTATTTTGTTTTATATTTATATTTTAAATTTTTATATTTTATTTTATATATTTGTTTCTCTTCTAGTTTACTTTTATTTTTTTGTTTTTGGTTTAATTACTTAATTTTTTGTTATTTCTTTTTAATTGTTTCACATTCACATTAATATTTTTATTTTTTTTTATTTTTATTTTTTTTTTATTTTTATTTTTTAAGGTTTTGTTTTTTTAGGTTTTTATTTTTTTGTGTTTTTATTTTTTAGCTGTTATTATTTTAAATGTTTTTATTTTTTAAGCTGTTATTTTTATTACAAATCATATTTTTCAGCTTTCAATAATTGAAAACAAAATATTCTTCTATAGTTTTATTTGAATTATAATCTTCAACATTCCTAAATTTTCTATGTTTTTTCTTTGTTTAAACAATTGTGCTACTTTACCTGAAACATCTTCTGGTTCTGATTGACTAACTGCGGCAGTTGCGATTGTTATTTGTTTCGTCTGTTGTGGTGCCGATATTGGCATCGAACTCAGTGGCTCTGATTCGGAGAAATCGGTATCGGTATCTAAAGAAAATGTTTAGGAAATTATTAATATATACCTTCAAAAATATTTATATGTACATATTTAATACCAAATATAAAAGAAACAAACTTACATTCGCCATGAATACTCTTCTTCTTACGCTCCACCGTACGTTTGTATTCATTCAATTCATCATCGGTAACATTATCGAATGGATTTTTAGCATATGGCGCCTTATAAACAGCCGCATTATGTTGATAGCCACGTTGTATAATACCCTTAGAAGCGGCACCCATTAGCACAACATGATCACCAGCCGATGAAACGGTAGCATCCTTAATGCGATTAGCCTCGTCCCATGTGACACCCTCCAAAATGTGTGATTGTGGACCGGCGGATATTTTATCAGCGCGACGATTGTCTTTGATCTAAGTAAAAAAAAATAAGAATAAAATAATAAAAAAAGTATTTTTAAATTTTTACTCTAAGATCACACAATATGTCATTCCACCAACTTACTTGTTGTTGTAAGCGCCTGAACTCTTTTGGATTTGTGCCCGCTGGTACAAATTGCAAAGGATCTTCGATGCGTACTGGTGTCGAATGTGTTGGTGAACCTTCAGCTACCCACTAAATGATGCCAACAATGTGAGAGCATAGAAAGCAGAGTGGAACGGACATGGAGTGGGACGAAGGTGATATTTTTTTTCAAGAAGCCGCCATTATGGTTAATAACAGTTATAGGGCAATAGGGCAATTAAATACGAATGATTTTTATATTTTATTTGGTTTTATACGGATTTGGGTATTTTGGGTAGGCAGCGCAATGTCGCGTTGTTTCGTAGTTTCAAAAAGGATATGCAAAGAAAATAGAAAGAGAAAGAAAATATTGTTAAACGTTTGTTACATTTTTTTTTAACTTATTTTATCATACATATAATTATTTTATTTATATACTCGTATGTTTTTAAATTACTCTTGACACAGAGCAAATATTTCGTAAATTTAGTATTATTAAAAAAAGTTATACTTAACATTAGTATTAGTTAGTTGCATACATTTCAATCAGTAATCAGTTAGCAGAAAAATAAATATAATGAAATTTACGAATATTTAGGAATTTACAGGCCAAGAACAAAATAAAATAAATGAGTGGAAGAAAAAATACAAATTACCATAATTACCAATTTTCATTTATATCGAAAAATAGTAATATTTTATATAAAAAATTAAATTATATATATTTAATTAAAAAAAATATATATACATATATTTTAATTGCTTTCATAAAAAAATATCAAAAAAATATAGAAAAAAATATATAAAAAATATATAAAAAATATATGAAAAAATATATAAAAAAATAAAAAAAAATATTTTTACAAAAATTAAAATAGTTTATACACAAATTAAAAAAAGTCTAATTTAAATAACGAAAAATATAAAACAAAAAGTTATAAGTATTTTATGAAAAAATTATGATATAAAAAATAGATATCAAGTTCATATATGTATGTACATAAGTTAACTCAGTTACAATTTAAAATTTAAAATGTAGCATTTCCCTCGAATTTAACAACTTCTCTTTTCAATACGTATAATCTTTTCACTACAACTCTTTCATTTAATTAATAAAGCAAAGCACAGAGTCAATATTAACAAAATAATATAAGTGTGTGAGTACATATGAATGAAAACCGGTGAATTTATTTGAAAAAAAAAAATATAATTATTCAGTGTTTAAATTTGAGCAAATTTTAATAAAATTAACCAAAGTTTGTCAAATTTTAATAATATTAAAAACGGTGAATTGATTTAAAATATATATATATAAAACATATGTATGAGCCTTTAAATGTAAGAAACTTAAAAATTTGTAAATTTAAAATTTTTTTTACTAACAAAAGTTTGCCAAATTTTATTTGATGTTCATAATTTGTCTGGTATTTCAAAGAATTAACAATGAAATTAATATTTTTTAGTGATTAAATTTTAGCATATTTTAATATAATTAAATATTTTTGTGATATTCCCAAAAATTAAAAATAAAATTAATAAATTTTTAGCAACAAAAATTTTTAATATTTTTTAAGTCAACACTTTTGTGCCAAAAACAAATTAAACATGCACAAAAACAAATATATGAAATTTTGTGTGTCGAAAATAAAGTAAAAGCACAATTTAATGTACGAAAACAATATGTTATGTATGAATTTCCATGCACACTGTTAATTTATTATGATTATTTACAATCACATGGACATTTTTAGTGTTAGTTTACAAAACAGCAATATTTATAAGAACAAAATAAGTATTCTTAAAAAATATATGTATGCAAGTAAGTTAAAACATATTTTTTGTTTTTGTTAACATTAAGGCTATAATTAAAATATTTAATTTGCTAATGAATTAACATTTTCTTTCTCTTTCTAACACTTTTTTTCGAGCATAAAATTCTTATTTGCATTAAAATTTCACACTTTTGTCGTTAGCATATATTTTCTACCATAAAAATTCTATAAAAAAAAAAATATTTTATTTACAACTAAAAACTACATTGCGCTGCCCGATAGAGGTCGCGAATAAATCGAATTTACGCGTTGTAGCGTGTAAAACAACATTAGTTGAATTGTGGAATATTTAACAAACGAGTAAGCGAAATTTATTCAACAAATTCTTTCAGTTGGGGTTAGAGCTTAGCGTGTTATGTAAGTAAAATAACCAAACAGCGTTTTTTTTTTTTTTTTTTTGATTTTTTGCAATATATATTATTATGTATATTTCACTTGCTTTGCTTTATTACCTTTTCACACATACACAAGAAAGCATTTTTACTTAGCTAATAAATATCTAATATATGATTTTATTTTTAAATATTTTATTGCATTAATTAATTCATAAATTTTTATTGAATTACGATAAAATCAAGAAATATTTTTATTGTTACTAATATATGTTGGGCTATCTTGTAAACTGCGATAACTGGTTCTATATATATATATATATATTGTATATAGTATGATCATAGTAGTTAGATAGATGGAGTAGAACAATATGTGTAGAGTCGAAAATTGTTGTGTTGAATTAAATAAATATATTCATTAAATATATGAATATTTTCAGAGACCTACACAATTTCGAAATGTTTTTTGATTGCCAATATTTTATACATATGTTGTTTATTTCTAAAAAAAAAAATATAGTATTTTAAGCAAATTTATTAGTTCGAAAATTTATACAAATGTCTAAATGTTCGCACACATTTTTCGACTCTCATGTAAGTTGTGCTGTATTGATACCTTTAAATTTTAATTGTATTTTTTTGTAGTTAAATGCCTTCTCTTACAAAACTAAGCTTATTTTGTTGCTTTAAAGGAGAAATATTAATTTTTTTGGCAGCCAAGCATAATGTGGAATGTTTTCGTTTCAAAAGTTTGAAAAAAAGAAACAATTTATTATAAATTTAAAAGCGATTAAGAAATTATAAACAATATTCAAAATACCAAACAAAAAAAAAACACAAATATTAAAACAAAAACAGCAAATTGCAAAACAAAATTTAAAAAAAATATATATATAAATATTAATAATTAGCAACACAAGAAAAATAAACCAAAAATTTTTAAATTCCAAAAAAAAGCGCTTTTAAAACAAATTAATAAAAACAAAATAACAACCACACAAGCCAACTAATTTTTTATAGCAAGTAAACTTAAATAAAATCACTTCAACTAAAGCTCCCGTACTGTCTTCCTAAAAAAAAAAAATGTTTAATGCCAGTCCCTTAGTATTTTTGGTAAAGTTTTTATTTAAAAAGTCCTTTTTTGACTAGCTAAATGAAATTTAAAATATTTAATGGCAGCTAAAACAGCGCAAACTGCATGGAATGTGTAATGTCTGAATTTTTTTTTACTTATAAGGAAAATAAGGCGTGATCTTTGAGCGCCAAATATTTATTATTTGAAAAGCTCAACTTGACATAACCTAAAATCATTGAAATATATTTTTAAAGACCAACCAATAAATTTGTTATGCCACACCTCTGTGCTTGCAAATATTTAACAACATTAAAAGTAATATTCATATTTTCACAGTTATGCAAAGAAAAAAATTAAATAAATTGAGCGGTGGCAGCAAAGTATTAGCAGTATTTGTTTTTTTTTTTTTGTTTCTATAAAAGCTACATTTATAAATGTTGTTATTAAATATTGTTAATTGCTTGGTTAGCAAACTTTTGAGAACCCCAAGAATATTTCAACTACAATTTGTATTAATTTTAATTAGTTAGCATTATTCATAATTTCTTTAAATTATTACTTTTTTTGTTTTTAGTTGGTTGGTACGGTTGGTTGATTAGTGGGGTGCTTTTTGATTTCACGTTAAAGTTTTTTGTTGTTTTTTTTTTTAATAACATTTTGTATATTTCTTTTACGATTTTAGTGCTGACTTGCTTCAGATTTATCTTCAAAAGTAATAATCTCTACCTTTGTAATCTTCTTGGGATCGGGTGTGCCAGTTTCCAGTACTTCAACCTTCTGATAGACATTTGGCGAGTTAAGCCATCGGCTGCGATCGCCGCCCTTACGCAAATCACCCTTCTTCCAGATGCTGCAAAGATTAAAAAAAAATCCATTAAATTACATCAAACAAACCTTAACGTCACACACACACACACTCACCCCTGCTTGAGTAGTTCCTCCTCTTCGAGTAGATAACCCAGCGAACTAACCGCTGGTGGCAGTTCCACATCATTCTTCGGTTTTGGCGGATCCGTTTTGATCAACGGATGACGATAAATGTAACCGGTGCGATAGCCGGCATTGTCGAGCATGCGCATAAGTGCCTCAAATTCAGCGCCACCAACGCGCCACTTGGGTGCTTGAGTGGTGTTCTTTGTAGCAACAGCACCACCCTCAGTGTTGGCGGCGGCGGTGGCAGCTGCTTCTGCAGCATTTGCCTCAACTGTTGCGACAGCGGCAGCGAATTTCTTCTCCAAATCTTCTGGTGGGCGGCGTGCATCTACATAAATCGCTTTACGCGACTCCTCCGGTATCAATACCAAATTATCCACACCGACTGGCAGTAGCTGTAATTGTGTTTCACATGCCTTCACAATATGGCTGGCAGCAAAGAATGCCTCCTCAATCGTTTCACCACAACACAATGCACCATAATTACTGAGTATCAACACCTTCGAGTTGGGACCGAGTGCGCGCACCAAACGATCACGTTCATCGTCATCCATGTAGGTGCCCGTGTATGAGTGTGTGGTTACTTCGCCCAAAACGCAGGCGTCACGTGTCAATGGCAGTAGACCGACCTTCAGCGAGGAGACGGCAACGACGGGTGTGCAGCCAATATAAATGGCGCAACGTATATCGGGACGGGCGGCATGCACCACCGAATGCAAGGCAAAATCTGGCGGGTAAAGGAAACATTCATTAATTTTATTATTAAAAATTAATTGGATTTAATTTAAAATAAATAATTTTAAAAGATTAAAATAAATAATTTTATTATATTTAAATTAAATTAGAATTGTTGAGCAGATAATATTTTTTTCAATTAAAATTAAAAGAAAAAGTTTTAAAAATTTTGTTAATCCCTAAGTCAATTTTTAAAAATCAGCCCTATTTCTTTGAATTATTCTAAACTTGCATAAGTTGTTTAAAAAAAATTGGGAAAATGGTTAAAAAAAAAAATAAAAAACGCGATTTATAAATGAATTTTTCGAGAAAGGCTTTCCTAGCACATTTAAAGCCCCTTTTCTACCAATAAAAAGGACCGTTTTGACCTTATCATCAAAAAACTGGTCGAAAAAGAAATTCTTAAGGCCATTAGAGTGCTGAAATGTTCGAGAAAAATGTGCTTCAGGAAAATTCTCTACAGGTCTTTTCAGATAAAATCTTTATACGCAGAACCTAAACGGGCATGGACTGTAGAAGCAAAAACTATTTCCATAAATATGCAACATTTTTGATTGACCGCAATAGGCGTGTTCTAAAGTGTTCCTTTTGCGGCTCATTTAAAAAAATCTCTAAATCAAAAGCATGCTACATAACCTCAATTGGTACTATAATTATTTAGAAAACTAAATTATCTACACCCAAAAATACTTACGATTCTTATTCACACCGAAATTGGTGGTGCCCTGCTCCACAACCTGACCCTGCATATCGACCTTATTCAACGACGACGCCGTTATTTCATGATACATCATGCCATATGGATTCACCAGGAAATTCTCCTGATCAACCTTAAGACGTGCAGTGATTTGTGCACCCAAACCTTGCGTCCAACCATACAAATCCAACAAACGGAATGTGGCAGCCAATTTACAACGTAAAATCTTTTCACCCTTAGCATAGCCCATGGATTCCACGCCGCGTATATCATTAATTGGCAACATACAATTGGTCGCCTTAAAGACATTACCCACACGTGTCGATGTGGGTACGCCCATTATGTCCGACAATTGTTGTAAAATACCGCCACCATCACGTGCCGAGTCCACAATGCGTTCCAATTCTTCACGAAAGAGTTTCGAACCCATAATGGCTTCAACACGCTTGCGACGCTCCATTTCACGCATATCCTGTGTAAATAAAAACACAAAAAAAATGAAAGAAGTTATTAAAATAAAATAATTAACGGTAATTATGAGTGTATGGAAAGCTATTAGTGGCGAGGAAAACAGTTTTGTTTGTTTTCGTTTTTTTGTTTTTGACTACGCAGCGTGAAAAATCGATGCAATAGAAAGCAAATGCAACGGACTGCACTGCAATATGCACTGATTACTCATCCAATACACAAGATTAGTGAGAGATGGAGAGTATATCTTCACACATACATGCATATGTACATACCTGCTCAATATCTGCTGGTCGCGCTTTACTGCTATCATCCTCCTCGGCGGCGGAAAGGTCTATGCCGTTCTGTGGCGGTGGCTGCTGTTCAACTTCAGTCATTTTTGTTGCTTGTTTTACGCTTATTTATGGCTGCTAAATAACGTTATATTAATTATTTGTTGTCTGTTGTCGATTTAAATGTATATGATCCAACGTCTTATTTGTCTGCTACACAAAAATTTAGACTGTTGCTCTGAAGCTTCTGTAAAACTTCCTGATTTCCTTGAAGTTGTGGTGCGAAAATGCTGTAATAAAGGTGAAAAAGAAAAGAGAAAAAGGATTAGTAAACATATAAAAAATTTAAAGGAAAAAAATTAAACTTATAAACATAAATACATATACATATATGCGCAGCAAATGCAGCAGGATGCAGCCGAGTCAATAAAGGACACACGAATAAACTTTCATGCAGAAAATAAGCGCCTAACAACCAACCTCCAAACACCTAATCAACCGACAGACGACCGACCAACCGACCGACCGACCACCTGCCACTTAAGTTTTCAGCTGGAGACTAAATGTCTGTATAGAAGGCCGACAAATGTAGTATATCAAAAGCTAAAGCCTGCAGGAAAAAAACTAAAAAAAGGAAATAAGCGCTAGAGATGAGTCTTCAACTAAAGGAAAAAAAATACACTCTACACCTCCTCATTGCATCTCGTCGACAGTGACCTTAAAAAGTGTACAAAAGCACGACGCAAACACACGATGCCGAGTGTTGCGCTGAGAAGGCCAAAAGCGGCACAGCTGTGTAGAGCACGAACACGTGAATGGCGGATGTAAGCTTTTCGTAGTGCGGAAAATAGTTTTGTGCAGCAAGGAAATTTTATATTCTCTCTTAACTGCTTGCACTCTCTTAAATAGCATGCTTAAGTGGAACAATAAAGAGTATTTTTGCGGTGACTATAGCTGAGCACTGAGACTGAGGAGCAGCAAATATGCATGTTAAAGGCTACAACTGCTCAAGTTGACCCCAATTGAAAGCTGACACTAGCTGTTTGCAATTGTTGATGTTCGCTCAAAGGATATAATGACATGCAAAAAGGTAGCAAATGATTTGAATTGTTTACTTTTTAATTATCTAGCAAGAAACCAATACTTGCGCATTTTTTTTTTTCGTTTGCTGGTTCAAAGTACGAAGGATTATGGGGTTCCAATATGGAGAGCACAATTATAGTGTTAGCAAATGTATGTTGGAAAACAGTATGGAGCGCAAATATGAAAAAACTCATAACATAAGCGCATAAAAATAATTAAACAAAATGCTTCAAAATAATTAAAATTAATATAAAAATTTAATTAAAACAAGTGAGTCGTACATAAAATGCAAGAAAAACTCAAAGTATTACATAAATGTGAAATCTTTTCGAACCGAAAAAATGCTACTTGTATTAGGTATACCTCAAATCGAGCCCGAATTTTAATTCCAAAATGTGGAATATTTAAACTAAACAAGCACAATTTTAAAATTTTCGTTTCCTCCCATCTTCCATTGATTCATCTAAGGCTTGAAATGAGCTATCTTCGCGGCACGCAGTGAGTCTGTTTCAGCCAAACTAACCACCTCGTTAATATAATAATAGCTTTTTCTACAAACATTTGGTTTTTGTGTGAAGCAAAATGTAACAATCACGGGACATACTGTCTCTTACCAAAGTACGAGAATTACAAATAGTGTTTTTCTTAAACCACTTCTTAGGCATTCTCGGTAGGCTATTATATGAAAACTCTATTTAATTTTCATGTAGGTCTGTTGCACGGATGTTTTGCATTCATCCCTTTTACGATATCGATCGATTTTCGTAATTTCACGTACAGCACATTATTGTGCAATTCTTTTTCATAGGCGGAAGAGATCACTTCATCACACCTGGACACCTTCATTATCTTATCATATTCCACTTCTGAACATTTATATGAAATAAATTGGCATCTTCCGAAGTTACTTACGTAGAACCCATGTATTTAAACGCAACTTACTCACCCTGAGGAGCCAAAGAACATATTTTCGATAAAAAAAAATAAACAAATTAAATTATTAAAGCTGTTTTTTGCACAATTTTTCAACACGTGCTCATTCATACACCATTCACAACCAATGGCTGAAGAAATGCAAAAAAAAAGCCAACACTTTGTGCCTTTTCATATAAATATTTATATTTTTTTGGTGCATATTGCACCGGCCGAGTGTCAATGCGGACATAACTTCTAAATTGGAAAAAAATATGTTTAAAATTTTCGTGAAGTTAAGCCGACAAAACATGTGGCGAAGCCATATTATTATATATACATACATATATTATATTTTATATTAGGTTTAGTAAAATGTAATACATAATTTTTGCATTTTATTTGAGGGCTTAGTTGCCTTAGTATGATATAATATAATATAACTCAATATAACTAGCCTGCGAATGTCTGATGGATACTATATTATTACTTTTATAAAATAGAACGATTTACTGGAAAAAAACATAAAACTCTAAAACGCCGCGGGCTACCCCTAATGCCTTAAATAAAACTAACTTGAATTACCAAAAAAAAATACACTTTTTAAAGATTTTGTTATTAGCACAGCTTCTAAACGAACGCCAAAATATTTTTATGCACACACTTAGACATCGAAAAAAGTAATAATAATAAAAAAAAATAAATAAATAGAACTCAAGGCTAAATTTGCCTAAAATTTAAAACTAAAACCGAAAAAACATTATTTAGTAAACACATAAAAACGTGAGAAGTGTTTGCATGCTCTCAACTGCTTAAATTTTCTTCCACCTTTTCCACACTTCAACGCATCTAAAACACACATACACTGTTGCAAAAATACCAACTCGACTACTTGCAATAAAATCGTTTTTCTTTTTCTCTCAAAAGTACTTAATTATTTTTTTGAATTTTTATTTTTTCTTTAATGTGTGCGCCTTTAAATTGTGCACATGACGTAGCGCTGTTGGCAATAAAAATCCAAAAACACAAACACAAATCTATGTTTTTATTATCGAAATTTCAACGCAACTTCCTTTCCTTCCTCCCCAACCAAGAAGCAGCTCTTGTTTCGTTTGCCGCATGCACTTACTCACACAAAACTCATAACACAGCACACATCGCACCGCAACTTTTTATCATACAATTTTAAATAAATTTTTTACTGTGTATAATTTGTTTAGATTTTTAATTCCACTTTTCATGCATGCACAAACTTGCTGTACTTCAAAATTCCTATTTGGAAAATAACTGCATAAAAATAGAATATTTTTTTAATTTTATTTTTTTTTTCTTTGTAAAGCTATTAGAAAGTGTGTACCACAAGAGCAGCGACCATGCGGTTGATCGGCCGGTCGGTCGGTCGGTCGGTCAGTCAGAAGTGATATTTTTTCTATGTTTATTTAATTTATATTTATATTTCCTTTTTTTGCTTTGACTAAACGTAAACATTCCACAGTATAGAAAACACACGCGCGTCACACGTCATTCGTCTTGCGGCCGGCGAACTTTTCTTGAAACGAACAGTGCACATTTATACTAATAAAAATAAAAGCAATAGCCCGCTTCTCCTTGTATTTAGGCTCTTATTTGCATTGTGGTGTGTGTGCTTGTTCGGTCGGCCCTCTTGCCTAAATTTGCTTTTTCTCCGCTTCATTTTTGGTGGCCGCTAAAATTCACTTTCTCGTTGGTTTATTTTTGACTTTTTCAATTTTTCCTTGCTTTTGGTTTAATTCCAACTGTTGCTGTTGTTGGTTTTTTTCATCTATGTAATGCATTAGCTATCAGAAGATATTTTTATGCCTGCTACACATTTTATTTTAGATTTGTTGAAAAATTATAAATGACAGATGTTGACTTGACTAGGGCGGCGGTGGCGTTGGTGCGAGCTGCACTACTCGCTGCTTAAATTTGTTTATTAATGAAAAATGACAACTAGTTACTATTTATGGAAGAATTTTCACGATTTCTATCAGGGGAGTACTTGACTTGCAGGCAATCTAATTAGATTAAGCAAATTCCAATATATTGTACTAAAATCAAATATGAAAGTTCGTTGCTAATTATCGAAGATGTCAAAACTTTTATCGATATATTAATAGTCGTCGTAAGATTCCGTATAGGTAAGCGGAAATAAATTTTCTAGGAGTTCGCTGAGTATTATCGATATTTATAAATTCAACTTAGAAGTCTGTTGACGGAAATGAGTTGGCTTTCAGTAATTTTTTGAGGTTATTTGTGGAACTCATTTTTAATTTTAATTGAAACAATAATTCTGCGTGTTATTTTATGGCTTTTAGACGCATAATTGCAAATATTTATTTAAATGAATGGCTTTCAGAGACAAAGTGAAAAATAAATTAAAGAGAGAAAATTAATAAACGAAAAAGAAAATTAAAACAAAAATAAAAAAGTAGACCAAAAGAGAACAAATAAAAAATAAAATAAAATATTAATAATTAAAAAAACGCTAAAGCAAAAAAATTAAATTAAATTAATTAAAAAAAGAGAAAAATAAAATGATAATTTAAAAATATTTATTATATAAAATTAGCAAATAAAACAATTAAAAAAAAATATAAAAAAAATCAAATCAAAAAAATAATAATAATAAAATAAAAATGTAAAAGAAAGAGCGCGGGAGTACTTATTAAAAACACATAATAACTTTAAAAAAGCAGGGAATAAATACGTACTACTAAAGCAACAACTAGCAATTAAAAATATCAAAAAGAGGTAAACTAAACAGTTGCCATACTAACGAGAAAGCGGTGGTTCATTTTGTGATTTATTACCGGCATTTTCACAAAATTTTTATTTTTATTTATTTTTATTTCGCAAAAAATTGCCTGTAATAAAGACAGCTTTACTCTTTTAATATTATACCTAGATGATGATATATTGCTGGCTGCTTTTATTTTTATTACCGCTATTCTTTACACGTGAGTTGTCACAAACGTAACGATTCGCTGCAGTCATTAACTTCGACAATTATGCAGCAGCACAACAAAGACACAGAAAAATCAAAATAAATACAAAAAAAATTAAATACACAAAAAAAGGACGTAAAATAAAAAAAAAATTAATAAAAAAAAACAAAAAAAAAAGTCAAATAAATTACAAAAAAAAATGAAATAAATTGAAAAAAAGCAACGAAAAATTAAAACAGAGAAATAAAAACCACTACGTTTGAGTTCATTCAAGTATCTTTACTGTCCCACTCCCTTGTCAAAACTGACGACACTCAATAGCACTTTGT